AGATTTGTGATTTGGCAGCAGGTCTGTAAAAACAAAACCATTGTCTCACAGATCCTGCTTCCTATTATGTGGAACTGCACACATACACATAGTAAATCAGCAATAGTTCGGGGTCCCTGATTTGCCTGGTTCCTCTGGAAAGTGTGAAAGAGGGTTATGCACCAGGCTTTAAAAAAAGTTATCCCCTTCTACCTGGATCAATCAGTTTAGAATGCCTTCATTTTCTCAACGCTGAGCTGGAAAAATAGCATTTTAAACTTATCAGTGCCAGAAACAATAACAAAGTGGTAGCCATGACTCATTAATTCCATCATTTACAGCATATTTTGCACTCCCTATCTTGGTCTATTCCAAAACAATATACAGCGTTGACAAGCTGTTTCTGCTTTGTAGCAGAGAGCCTACACCCTATGTTAGCAGGGATTTGATCTTCTTTTCAGCAGCAGTAACACATGCCTGCCATGACTCCACAAGTACCTACTCTCCAGCATAAATCCTGTTGCACTCTCTGCATTTGTCAGCAATGTATATTATCACAGTTGGATTACCACTGCTGTTGCCACCACCATCCTCCAAGCAGAAACACTCCCTCCACCCCCGAATTATTTGATAAATATATCAGTTGCAGAGTCTGTTTAAAAGTGTTTCCAACACAGGATGAAATTGAAAAGGCATTAAATAAGTATAGCACCACTACAGTGAAACTGTTTCACTCATGCAACTCCCTAACTCAAATTGTTTCTTTATTGACAGGAGAAGCATAACATCTTCCCTACTCATACCCTTCCCTGTTCTAGAGTCGCATTTGTAGTTTGAAATCCTCTGGAACAGAGTGTATGCCTCATTGCTTGTTCTTCATCTCCTTCACTGGTCACAACTTTTTATTACAATGCCTTCCCATCGTTTTAATATTATCTGTGCAGCTAAACAAACAAACATCGACCCTCACATGGGAAGTATCTGCATCTGCCTATTTATCCTTGCAACAATCCTGTGAAGTAGCCAGGCTGAAATCCAGTGACTAGCTGTTATACTTGAGCCACTTCTTTCTTCCATGCAGAACCCCAAGTATGGGGTGAATTTAATCCATGTTTCTCTACCAGCCAGGTATGCCACATATACAAAATAGAGCATGCCTATATTGGAGTGTACAAAATAAATATTTCTCACTATTTACTGAGTAACCACAGCTAAATACACAGCTCTTTTCCCATATTCAGTAAGACACCCCCCCCCCATATTTGTGTGGGATCAGTTCCATGATCTACTGGGGATGCCTTAAACTGTGAACAATAGCGAATCTTTTATACAACATACAAGAAGCTCTTTTCCCATATTCAGTAAGACCCCCCATATTTGTGTGGGATCAGTTCCACGATCTACTGGGGATGCCTGAAACTGCGAACAGTAGCGAATCCTTTATACAACATACTGTACAAGAGGGCGGGACAAAACCCACAAGGGTTGCCCTCGAATGTTGTATATAGCGCTGCAGTAAATAGCAGAAACTATGTGTACCGATCCCACAAATAAAGTGGTCCTGTTGTATCTGGAATAGTGAAAGGGATACACCATAAATTATATTATATAAGGTTGTTTCAACAGCTGATTTGTTGCTAATTGCCTCTGGTGCCAAAATTCATAGTTACAGCTCTGCTTTGAATATATGAGTCCTAAGACCACTTTCAATCACCTTTGTCTAGAATATATTAAGGCTAAATAATGATATAATACATGAACCACAGTTCAACTTAAGAACGTTTCAACTTAAGAACACCATTCCAAAACGGATTAAGTTCTTAAGTAGAGGTTCCGCTATAGTTTCTATGGACGGAAAAGAGCAGATACGGATTAAATGGTTTTCAATGCATTCCTATGGGAAATGCAGATTCAACATAAGAACTTTTCAACTTGAGAACCACCTTCCAATACGGATTAAGTTCTTAAGTAGAGACCCCACTGTATAGACCTTGACTTCTTACAGCCCCTGATGTCTTGTTTTCTTTTCTCAGGTCACAATTGCATATTCATTATATTTGCATTTTGTGAACTGTCAATTATCACAGTCATTTCCCATTAGTTCAATTCCTCAGCCACTACAAGATTTTATGTCAAAAGGAGGAATATACAAAATATCTGACAGAGAAACCTGCCTCAAACTGGCTCAGATTGGCTATAAATGTAATAAATATATACACACTGGCATTACATTAGTGTCTAAGTCAATATAATACTCATGGAATGAAAACCCCATAGCATATTCTATATTATAGTGCTGCACAATCTCATGTTTACAAAAACTGATACTGAATGCCACTCTTGCACTATTCTAAAAAATGCACAACTTAAAATGCTGCAGGTCATGTTAGCACAATGAAATTGCAGGCTGCAGGCTCAGGTAAGTTTTTCCTTTCAGGATCATTTCCATAAATAAATACTGAAGCAGATATCAGCAGTATTTTAGTTATATTGGAATGGCAATTACAGTACTGTGAATCAAAGATACTCATATAAACCATAAATACAGCATAATGTATACAACTAGAAATTAATCATCAGTGACATTATTTCATTGCTAGTATTAACATCTGTGCAAAATTATATTTCATAATGAATGCATTGATAATGCATAACAATTCTAATAAATGCAGTACCTTGAAACTGCAGCATTAGGCAGAATCCTAATAATTCAACTGCACATCAGAAAATGTTATTCTACCAAAAGGTGTGTATTAACCAAAAAGTGAAAGCATAAATTAAGGCTGAGGATGAAGTGTGAGATATGAAGACCACATAACACAGACATTCAGCAGTGGATTCTTTCACAAGAATTTTATATCAGTTGAAGATAAGGCTTTATTAATAGAAGATGTATCCCTTTCAGCTACAAGTTAACACTACACAACTCATCTCCCACTAATTTTTCTTTACCCCTGTTGGCTACTAACTCAGGTCCAGCTTTGTTTATATAAAAATTCTTTAATGCCTCTCCTCTTGTGTTTTCTGTATGTTTTGCATCAGTATAAGTCTAATAACATTTAGATTTTTTTTCCAGAAATGGAGAATAGGTCAACTCTGATTGTTCATCTTATTAGTCTGTGGCCTAATTGCTAACTTGCAAGCACAGAGTTGAACCTAGTCTGAACGTTTGCTACTTCTTTCAACTTAAGACTGTCAATAAATGCAGTGTCCACACACTTATGTCCAACTGAGTTCCTTTTTTATTTCAAGAGAATTCAGTTTACTACAACTGGAGCAGCTTTTAGAAAATTTAGAGACACCAGCACTCATGTCTACTGTGAATTAACATGAGAACCAATATCTACAAAGTAATGCCTATTCCTGTATCCAACATCAATTCCAACCTCCAAACATGATCCCTTCAGTCTTACAGGTTATTCATTCACAGCTGCTATCCATGAAGACTTCTTGACTAAATGGCACACCCATCAGTCTGTCAAGCAGAAAGCTAGTCTCCTAAAGAAGAAACCAAAATTTTGCACACATAGGAAATACAGACTGTGGTCACCACGGCACAAAGAAATGCACTTGTCACTACAAGCTATGATAATGAAATTCTGGTCAAGCCATCAGAAGTGCTGCTGGTTTACCCAGCCAAATATTTAAGACATCTGAATACATTCTACATGAAGCACCAAGGCATCCAACTTGTTACAAAAGAACTACTGGATTACATAAAAATAGTCACAAATCAGAATCCACTATCTGATCACTTTCTTTGGGATAGACAACCATTGTCTTGCATGTCCAAGTCTGGATCTCAATCTGCATCGAATGCACAGGCAGGTCTTTCTCTTCACATTCTGGTCATACTACCTTACATAACAGAAAAATGGAATGTTTTCAGAAAACAACACATAAATTGGTTGTTGTGGGTTTTTCAGGCTCTTTGGCCATGTTCTGAAGGTTGTTGTTCTTCGTAACGTTTCACCAGCTCTGTGGCCGGCATCTTCAGAGGACAGCACTCTTTAAAGCGTCTGTTCTCTGAAAATGCCGGCCACAGAGACTGGCGAAACATTAGGAAGAACAACCTTCAGAACATGGCCAAAGAGCCTGAAAAACCCACAACAACCATTAGATCCCGGCTGTGAAAGCCTTCGTGAATATATTGAACACATAAATTATTCCAGCAGTCATCACTGCTACAATAAGAATAATGCCATTAAGAATTATTCCATGTCACAAAAAGCCCTGATAGCTTTAATGCCAGATTTAAGAATACTTATTAAATCTGAAAAAGGCCAAATAGTGATTTCTTGTTCTGTATCAGATATCTGTATTCCTCAGAAATAAAAGATACAATACACACAGGGAAATTATCTCTGAAACAGGTCAAATTAATTTATGGTAGGCAATCTTGCTGACACAATCCATTTTCAGTTTGATATAAAAAGCAAGGAAAACCTAGAACTTTGGACAGAATCATATCATTTTATTTATCTAGGTTTTAGGCTTAGGTTTCCTTTTTTTTTAAAAAAATGTGGTGATCAGAATACTACTTGGAAAACACAGGAAGGTAGGAATCTAATTGCATCTGGTTGTGTTGTGTTGGATTAGTACTAGACAACATGGGCAATTCTTTGGAATTACTGAAGGTAGAGCTCCAAATATCTGGACTATCACATTTCTGAAGCATAAGACACCTGAAATACTGTAAAATTGTCTGTCCTTGTAAAATCTCAATACATTTTAGCAGCAGTAACGGGGTAAATAGAAATCTTGCCAAGGTTGAACTATGTCTATCCATAAATTCCTACAAGCAGTCACTCAAAATCAATGAACAGAAGAATGCTCTATTAATAGGAAATGCAAATCACAAGGCACTGTATTACCCCACTTGTCTATCCTGCTTTTTTCACTCTCTCACTACCTAATTTAAAAGGACTTTTAATAAACTTGTTCTGTTGTTAGCACTCTGGTAATCGGTGAATGAAATTAATTGGCTGACATATCATTAACAGTCAATTTTGTTCCCTTACCTGTCCAAAGCAGTACTGGTAGGCATGCTCCTGCCAAACCCCCGCACTGCCATCTGACGGAAATATGGAATGCAGGGGAGATTGGCAGCAATAATGGCCAGCGAATCAGAAGGGTTCACAAAAAATCCATTTTGACCTAAGATCATGTATCGGTCCTAGAAGATAAAAGAAAATTTGTTGGAGAGGGGAACAGTATAAAATTAAAGTAGAGGAGATCATCCTTAAGAGTTCTGCAAAATTAATCCTCTTCCTCACGCATACACACACCCCAGCGCAATCTAGCAGGAGAGAAGCCCATAATTGTTCCTTGGCTCCACTTTTGTCTGTTGGCACTTTAATACGTCTAAGTATTTTCTGTACAAAATAATCTTGCCACTGATAAAGAATGACACATAAATTCATGGAGAGTTATAAGCAGCTTGAGTAGTTTTGGGGAAAGTCTTAAATCAGAAGAAATATTTATGATAGTTTTGCATTCCACGGCTTCTTTTTCTCTCAAAAACACATCCTTTCTTGAGGGATTGTGATATCCCTATCACTTCAAACAAAACTTGGCTAACAGATCATGACATTACCAGGCTAGAGATGAAAAAAGAAACCCTACAAGGGAATACCTTTTATCAATATTTTCTTTGTGAGAGTCTGTGAGATAAACTTTAAATATTGATTCTTTATTTAGATCTGTAAGCCAAGAGCGGCATTAACCATTCCTTCCTTTTCTCTTGTTTTGGGCCCTAAAGTAAAAAAGGAAGAACGTCCAGGATTTCCTGTTCATGCTTGGTCATATTTCATTCACCAGGAAAGACTTGTTTCCATGCATGTCCACTCAGTAAAATAAAATATGGGCACAATGAGGGTGAAAAGAGCATTTAACAAGCAATATCGAATTTAATCCCGGGGTTCCCTAAAATGGTAGTACAACCTAGAGGGAAAACATCTGTGTTGCAACATCCAAAACAAAGACGTTGAAGTGTAGTTCTATGAGAAAAACCAATTATCTTGTTCTCCCTTCATAAACATGTTAAAAAATTTTCCCTCTGCGGCTATGTAATTCCCAGTCACTGTAACCTAACTTATTTGTGCTGCCACAAATTCTTTAACAGCTTCTGCACAGGTTGTTACAAGATTGAGATTCCCTATTGTCTGCGGGTTGGGGGGGGGTTCTTTTCCTTTGGTGGGAATACCCTCTCTGTAAAGGATGAGATTTGCAGTTTGGGCATACATCTGGACCCAGCATTATCGATGGAGTATCAGGTAATGTTTGTGGTCCGTTTGGCCTTTCTCCATCTGAGGCAGATTACCCAACCTTGACACCCAGTCCCTCCCTATGCTGGTCCACACACTGGTAGTCTCGAGATTAAACTACTGTAATGCTCTTTATATGGGGCTACCCATGAGGCTATCTGGACATGGTGGTGCTGTGGGTTAAACTGCAGAAGCCTCTGTGCTGCAAGGTCAGAAGACCTGCAGTCGTAAGATTGAATCCACGCAACGGAGTGAGCTCCCGTCGCTTGTCCCAGCTCCTGCCAACCTAGCAGTTTGAAAGCATGCAAATGCGAGTAGATAAATAGGTACCACCATGGTGGGAAGGTTCCGGCGTTCCATGTCTAGTCGTCCTGGCCACGTGACCACGGAAACTATCTACGGACAAACGCTGGCTCTACGGCTTGGAAATGGGGATGAGCATCGCCCCCTAGAGTCGGACATGACTGGACTAAATGTCAAGGGGAACCTTTACCTTTGCCATGAGACTCCTATGGAATCTCCAGCAGGTCCAGAATATAGAGGCCATATGGCTGAGTGGAGCAAAGAAATATCAACATATCTCCCCTACACTGGCCACCTTATACAGTGGTGCCTCGCTTGATGAGGATAATCCATTCCAGTGAAATCACTGTAGAGCGAAATCCTCGTCAAGTGAAATAACAAAGCCCATTGAAATGCACTGAAAACCAGTTCAATGCGTTCCAATGGGTAAAATACCTCAGCGTCCAGCGAAGATCCTCCATAGGGCGGCCATTTTCCAATGCCTGTGCAGCGAAAAATCCGTCCTGAACACAGCGGGGAGCCATTTTGAACAGCCGGTGGCCATTTTGAAAACCCGACGATCAGCTGTTTTGATCGTTGTAATGCAAAGAATCGGTTCTCGAAGCAGGGAACTGATCGTCGTAAAGCGGATTTTGCCCATTAAAACATCATTTTGCGATCGCAATAGCGATCACAAAAACACTATCGTCAAGTGGATTCATCGTCAAGCGGGGTAATCGTTAAGCGGGGCACCACTGTACTGGCTACCTGTTCATTTCCATGTCAGCTTCAAGGTGACGACCTTGATGTACAAAGCCCTAAACTGTTTGGGACCTCGATACCTGATAGAATGCCTCCTCTTGATGACATCTGCCCAACCTACCCAATCTTGCCAGGTGGAGCAGTTGAGAGCACTGACCCTAAGAGAGGTCCAGAAAGAGAAGACTAGATACCAGGACTTCTCAGTGGCTGCTCCCCACCTCTGGAACGATCTCCCACCTGAAATTTACCTGGCCCCTTCACTCAAAATGTTCAAACAATCTCTTAAGTCATGGCTCTTCAGATAGGCTTTTCCAGAGTTTGCACTGTGATAATGCAGTGGCAGTCTCAACTTTTATTTTTCCTCCGCCATCTTGCCTTTTAAATTAATGTTTTTTGTTTTATTTGTATTTATGTTTGTGTTCCAGTTGTTTTGGTTATGATGGTATATTGCAATTTTGATTTTTGTATAACTATTATTTCTGATTGTGTGTGTGTGTGTGTATGTGTTGGTGCTACTGTTTTATTGCTTTATTTTATTATATCGTAAACCGCCCAGAGTGACCTTGTAGCCGATGGGCAGTATAAAATTCAAATAAATAAATATTGCCCATAAGTAGAGGCAAACTAAACTATTAACCACATGTTTTCACTTAAAATAACTTTGGAAGTTTCTAAGGTCATATAGTATAAGTAATCACACAACATGTTTTGAAACTTTTAACAATTCAGCACTGAGTAATCTAAAAACTGGGCTCCTTCTGAATAGTAAAGGTATTTTAAAGAACTCAAAAAGCAGCTATGCTTCCAGTTTTCCCTAGAGTTTAAATAAAAGCAGTGTGTTCATTTGAAAGTCCTTTTTCTAAATGTTGCAATTGAGCTGATAAAAACAATTCCTCAGCACCAACTCTAATGCTTCCCAAATACCTACTCCATCAGCATCAAAAGCTGCTCCAAATCCATACTCTCCTCCTTTCATCGCCTCCAACAATGAAGTTGCATACGTGAGATTCGGGTCAGGGTACTGGCCACCAAAGTCCTCCAGAGGTACACAGTTAACTGCAGAATTAGCAGGAGCTCCCAGTTCATCACACAGGATTCTCCGGACATAGGGACCCATCACTGCAAAAGAGATGTGCCTTCCAATTTAGAAACAACTTCTGAATTCATGAACAGTATAAACACCTACTATTTATGTAACAGAAACAAAATCAATGTGCATTAAATAAGGTATCATGTCTATCCCTACACGTTATCAAAAGAAGTGTCCAAACAAAGGGGAAATATTTCCATTAAATGATGCATATTTTCAGTAGCAGAGAAAACAGAAATCCACATATCCTTCTCTTTATAGCCAAAGAGCTTTTTGGTAGCATTCAGTGTGGATTATTTCACAGGAAGTCATTTGCTTTTGATGAGATAAACAAAAAGCAAACCAAACAAACAGTAGTCCATAGTACACAGAATGTCTGTAGGAGGTGGTATATTTAACCTTCATGCACTAGGATTGGGGGGGGGTTACAACTCACTTCTGCTCCATTTCATCATGGTTTGCCCACAAATCACATAGGTTACTTTCCATTTTGGTTTGGGCAAAAAAGTTTGCCAATAGGAAAATAAAAACATTTGTTGGAATTTTTGGTTTCCTTTTTTTTTTTGGGGGGGGGGGAAGTCTCAGCTGCTTTTTGTTTTCTGGAAAAAAATTGTCTGAAACAAGAGGCTAAAAATCTGAGGAAGTTATTTACAACTATCAAACAACAATGTTGGATAATGCCTATATTACTGGTCTAGTTCTATGCAGATTTCACAACAAAATGTGTCTCTTGCAGACTAAAATATTTTAGTTCATGAACTTTAAAAAGTTTGTTTATTAGTTATTCTGCAATGTGAAATTCAGGTATTGGAGCATTTCTATTCATGCAATTTATCATTTACATTCCAAAGGTAATGCAACCCACATAAGAAAACTCTAAAAAAAAGGTAAAGGTTCCCCTTGACATTTTTAGTCCAGTCGTGCCCGACTCTAGGGAGCGGTGTTCATCCCGTTTTCAAGCCGTAGAGCCAGCACTTGTTCGAAGACAGTTTCCGTTGCCACGTGGCCAGCATGACTAGGGAACGCTGTTTTACCTTCCCACCGAGGTGGTACCTATTTATTTACTCGCATTTGCATGCTTTTAAACTGCTAGGTTGGCGAGGAGCTGGGACAAGCGACGGGAGCTCACTACATCACATGGATTCGATCTTACAATTGCTGGTCTTCTGACCCTGCAACACAGGCTTCTGCGGTTTAGCCCACAGCGCCACCACGTCCCTAAGAAAACTCTACCTATGCATTTGAATCTACACACGTTGAAAAGGATTAGAGGCTCATATGTAAGGTTGCCAGAAACTGCTTCTGTTAAAGACTGCTTTTACTGCAGAAAGTTAAGAGTGTTGCAGATATAATTGGTATCCTTTACTGAATGCACAGAACAAATAGACAGTCTCGAGATTTGCCAGATATTTCAACAGCTGCTCTTTATCTGTTCAGCTCAGTGTCATCCTTGAATTTTCAAAAGAAGAAACATTCATCCTTAATTAGTAACGTTCACTTCCCTCACAGTCCCTCAAATAAACGTACTAAGAGACTTCAAGCAAGCTGCTGTCTCCCAGGTTATATCCTAACTTTAATCACAGAGTTAATAATACTGAGCTATCCCAATGGAGTTCTTGCAAACATTGCCAGCGTAATATATAAGAAACCTGGAGAGAGTTCTCGTAAGCATTACTAGAATGATATGTATGAAACATTCTGAACATTTGATACATACATTTGATATACAGTGCATATTATACACATGCATAATTAGAAATAAATCCCACTGCATTTAGTGGGACCTTTTTCTCTAGTACTTTTGTTTATTATTGAAGCCTAAACCATTAGCGTGGAGTAAATACCTAGTCATTATGTCTACATTTTAAAGTAATAATTTATTTTCATTATATTGCTAGCTTACATGTTGCACCAAAAATGGCTCTCCTTACCTCCATTCATTGCATCAATTCTAATCTTCAATTGATTTGGCCCCGTTAGCAAGCCTCTGATCGCATTGAAGTCAAAGACAGTCCGCAAAAGGTTAAGGTAGACTTCTACGGAGTCTATTATTTCAACTGTGCATATGAGATAAAAGAAATTTAAAGTGAATCCATTTACTTTACCCACAAATAACTGAAAATCTGTTCCACAAACACATTGGAAGTTAATGATTTAACACTGCCTGAAGCAAGAGTCACTCATTAAATGAAGGAATAAAATGTCCATTAAATATAACTATTGAGTACCTTCAGACAGTTATTATTGTCAGCTTTTCAGATATTCTGGGACTAACCAGAGGTCTGTTGTTCTGTTTAAACATGAGGGCAGTCAAGTAAGAAGAATTTTTCCTCAAATTCAGATGCCATTTCAAATCTGGGCATGACCAAGTTAACATTTAAACAAGTCCTTTTAAGCTCTATGAAAAAGCTCAGAATATATTTTAATTAACTCCATCAAACTGAACTAAAAGCAGCGATTAATTCTGGCTAGATCATATTTCTGTATTTTGAATATTACTCTAGTACCTTTGAAAAATAGGTTTCCCAAGTTGGTACAGAACAAACAATATAACAAAACAAGATAAAAACAAAAAGACCATGAAAAATTTATTTATATTTATTTATTTATTCGATTTATATCCCGCCCATCTGGTCTTATAACACAAAGGGAACATCACATGAAAATATCAACGGAAGAAAGGCAAACAATGCATTTCCAAGCCTAAGGTAACACAACAACAGAAACTACCACTGAGAAAATTCGGGAAACCCCCCTCCCAAAAGCTGCAGAATATGACATTAAAAATTAAATGTCAACAAGTTAAATTGCCTGGTGAAAAGACTGCAGAATGAAATACAGAAGCGAACAGGACACAACTGAGTAAGACAAACACTTAATTGAGCCTCAGATGGACAGCTTCAATGAGACAGCCACTGTAATACAGTTGTTAAAGTGCTAGACTGGGATTTGGAAAATCTAGGTCTAACTCCCTAGTGATCCATGAAACTCACCAGGTAATACTGGCCAGTTATTTGTTTGTGGCCTGAGCTACCTCAGAGAGGTGCTCTGAGGACAGCAGAAAAAAGAGAAGGTTACCTGGAACTAAACTGTGGAAAATATAGGATACAAATATAACAAAATAAAATGGTAGGGATTTGTACCATGGATTCCAAATGATTTCTCATAGAGGGAAAAATATACTTAAATACTGTATATGAAGGGACTACATCCTAAACTCTGTTGACACAAGAGCAGAACAGCTTGGAGACAGAAATTCATACAGTGTGAGAAAACAAGATAACAATTGCTACATTTCTTACATCAAATCAAAAATACTCCCACCTCAGTCAATATTCTTAATTCTTGTTGAAACCATTATTAATGCACCATGGAGACCCAAATTATAAAAAATAAAAACAATACCACGGAAAGGCTTGAACTTGTTCTCCAGATCAAATTCTTGTCTTCCTAGACGAGATAAGTCAATTCTCAGATCAGGACAAATGGCGTATTCTTCAAGAGTTTTACTGATCTGATAGATTTTATCAGAGACAGCATCTGGAGCTGGACCTAAAGGTATGCAAACAATTATAACTAGCAAATAGTCCTGGAAAACTGCTGCAGGAAAAAAATTCTCTTGGTGAAGACTACCAATTTGGTAAACTGACCCTAATAAAATACAATGGATACTTAAAGACCTAACTACATACAAGTGATGATAGAAAAAGCTCCATAAGCAGATCCGGGAGAGTGTATTTCCTTCTAAACATAGCTCCAGGTGTTCACAAGAGAATATTCTCCTTCTCTCCCCTTCCCGAGGCCTCCATCTAATCCAAAACTCTCCTCTGGAGATATTCCTAGCTCTCCTCCTCTCTCCACTGAAGTCTTCTTATGTCAGTACAACATGTACACAATAGATTATAATATAAACACATATCAGCAGAATGTGCAAGCTCTATCTTCGTAGCCTCTGAAAGGCCTCCCGTTAGAACTGTTCTAAACGCTACTAGCTTAACATCCAGTCTCTGGTTTTCAGTCTCCTTAAAAGACAAATGAAACCGTTTAGGTTTCAAATCTCAATTAACTACATTAAGAGAGATGAAAAAACATATACTTAAAGCAATTTTAATCCAAAAAGCAACGACCTGATCCTGCAAGGCAGAGCCACATCACATTTTGACAAAGGCAATTTGGCATTTCATTGTTTATCTGAATCCTATTGAACTGGAGAGACGTACTTACTGAAATGAATGAGGAAATGCATCCATATTCAGGGCTATCAGTTATTTTGCTTGACACACAACATGGAACTGATATGAAAGGCAGAGAATAAATCATTGCAGCTGGAATAGATGCTGTATTTTGCATCCAGCTTCCAAAATATTCACTATGGGAAGCAAAACATAATGTAGCTACCCATGTAGGTAAAAACATAGCCTAATAATGAGTTCTATAGTATGTACTAAACGAACATACTACAACGTGTAGATTGTTATTTAAAAAGAAGCTTGCCTCCAGGCCTTTTGAACACTGTGCATCTGAAAATATCGTTATCTAGTAAAATATTGGAATTGTTTTTTAAAAAAAACAAAAATAATATTTTCATAGTTTTAGATGATGATAGGATTTTATAATCATGTTGCTTTCCTTTCAAGCTGATTTTTTTTAAAAAGTTCTGAATTTAAGGCAACATGGCATATTGTAAAATACTCACCTCCATTGGCAACATTAAACTTAACTCCAAATTCTCCTCCAGGTCCTCCAGGACAGTGACTAGCTGTCAGAATAATCCCACCAGCTGCTTTTATTTTTCTGATAACACATGATACAGCAGGAGTAGATAAGATGCCATTCTGACCAATAACCAGTCTTCCAATCTACATGAGCCCAAAAAGGAAAAAGAAAAGAAGGGGGGAGGGGAAGGAAATTCCATTATATTGATAGGGAGTTGATGTATTCAGTGATGAAGATTTGCTCTATCAATTGATTTTGTTTTGTTTCATTTTCTACAAAAGACAGTTCGATTCCTATTATCTAGGAATCCAGACCCAAGTCTTATATAGCCAATATTTAAACTGTGATACTAAATTACAGAAAACCAAGGTTTATAGGCACTGAAATAAGAGGCAGGTTTAAACTCTGTTGTCCTGATTCCAACAAGGAACACCAACAAACATAAATTTACTTTATCCATGCACAGCTTGACAAGTATGAACATCCAGGAAATTTGTATTCAAATCACACTGCCCACTCAAGCACACCAAACCACTACAGTATTTGAATGTAGCTGAATAAAGGGCCTATAGCATAAAGATTGACATGTTATCCAGTGAGTTACCAATCACAGATGGGGTAAAGTTTAGTACAATAAAGTTGACTTTACAAAGGCATGAAAGAAAAATGAATCTTAACATCATCTACATTTTAAAAAATCCATCAATTCATCATTTAAAATGTAGACATTCAGAGCTACGTGCTAATTGCTTAGCTAATATTCTAGAGTACAGACGCACAGAGATACGTCTGACATTACTAAGAAAAGTCAGCTATCCAGGTTAGCGAAGCAACTCCACTAACATAGATGAGGAAGAACTGATCCCATACATGCACAAGATATTTTGTGCAATCATACTTCCTATGGCAACCTATCACAAGTTGAGAGCCATGGTTAGTCCCCAAAACGTTTTCAGATACTGTACACAGGTTCTACTTAATTAAAACTGGTCAGTCTGCATGAAGATGCAAGAACATGTGGATTCAAGCAAGCTTAGATCTGTAACTGGTAAGAGAAAGAAAAGACAGCAACTGCCTTTCCTGGTGGCCTTTCATTCGGATCAAAGGATCTGTAGCTTTCCCCTCGAGTCATATTTCTATGTTAAAAATAAAAACGAGGACTACAGTGTATTTCAGAACACTCTAACCTACTAGATTGCATTTGTTAAAAGTAGTGTGAATTAACACTGTTCAAACAAAAGACATTCCACCCCATTGTTATAAAACATGATATATATCCAGGATATGGTTAAGGTAAAGGTTTCCAGACAGTGTCTGTGGTCACATGGCCAGCGCGACTAGACGTGGAACGCCATTACCTTCCCACCATGGTGGTACCTATTTATCTACTCGCATTTTTACATGCTTTCAAACTGTTTGGCTGGCAGCAGATGGGACAAGTGACAGGAGCTCACTCCATCACATGCATTCGAACTGCTGATCTTTCGACCTTGCAGCCCAGAGGCTTTGCGGTTTAACCCACAGCGCCACCACATCCCCGGGATATGGTTATTAGCCATTAATTAGGTTTCACAGCTTTATTCAGTTTGTATTTAAGCTTCATACACTGATTCTTTGAGACAAATGTGCTATTCGTTTATCTCGTATCATAATACAAAGTGACACAGAGAGAAAAACTCTGAAAAAGGTGTTAAATATAAATAATTTAGTTTCTGAAAAGAGAGGCATTTAAAAAATGTTGGAGAAGACTACTGAAGAATGGAACACACATACATGGCCCATTAAAGATCTCTATAAAGTAGTATTTTTAATTCTTTTATGGAAAAACTCAGTATCTTTTCAAAGTAAACCACAATATTGAATGCAAAGGGATAATTTAAAATAAAAATTATTTTCAGCTCCCTCCTCCTTCAGAAGCAGGGGTCTCCAAACTATGGCCCGTAGGCCACATTGTCATTTTATCCAGCCAGGGCATAGGAAGAGGAGGGAAGAGGTACCCAAGCAATCTATTTGTGTTTTTGTCCACCAATCAAGTATTATACCTTGTTCTTCCAATTCTTTCCCTGATTTCATACTTAAGTCCTCTTTTAATAAATCTTTATATCTCAAGGGTTTCTTCTTTTCCATTAATGTTGGTGGTGTGAATGCTTCCACTGGTGAGACCCATTCAGGAACTTTTGGGTAATTTTCTTCCCAGATCTTAGTCCATACCCAATTCAAAGTTTTCCTTATCAAATGATTCTTAAATTATTTATTGTCCTTTACTTTTTGATACCATAGGAAGATGTGCCATCCTAGGTTTAAACCATGTCCTTCTGCGTTTAGTATTCTATTTCAGATGAGTTTCGAATATTGTCACAACTACATTTTTATTATTTTTATTGATGGACAATTTTTTCTCAGCCCAAATAAGATTAGTTTGGAAAATCAGCCAAAATATTTATAACTCGGGGAAGGGATGTCATTCAGATTATTTCCATGTCATGTCATTCCTTGCTTCTGACCTTGCCCAGTCTCTTGCACCTACTCAGCCCCCACCAACATCCAAACCAAACCTTTCCCTTTACAGTACAACGTTGGGCAAAGTGTGGTTGTCAAGATGTTATTTCACTGCAGCTTCCAGCATCTCTCACAACTGGCTGTGCTGGCTAGCGTTGTTGGGATCTGTACTTCAACAAAATCTCAAGGGCCACATCTGCCCAACACTAAAACTTTGCTGTAGTGGGAAACTCAACACACAAGCCCTGAGAACAGAATGCAGAAAACAGATTAACTCTCTCCCTCTCTGGTATGCTGCCAGATTGCTATGAACAGGGAAGTATTAGTGACTCTTCGGAGCTGAAATTTTATTTTTCCCCCAATGGAATGCCTGTATTTCTTATGAAAACTACAGCTTTCAAGCACCAGTGGGTCCTTTCTATCTCCGTAGCTGAGATTTCCCTTCAGCTTCTAGTATGGCTGTAGAGAAACACTCCAAGCTAAATGGCATTTAAACAGAAAAGAAGAGGGTTTCAAAATGGCTGAGATGGTAAACTGGGAATTCTTCTTTGGCTTAGATTTCAATCTGAGCCAGAGAGGAATTTCAGAAAGCTTACTTCTCTTGTATTTTACAAGCGGCTAAAGTTTGTACTATTATTTATTTATTTATTTATTTATTTATTTATTTATTTATTTATTTATTTATTTATTTATTTAACTAACTAACTAACTAACTAACTAACTAACTAACTAACTAACTAACTAACTAACTAACATGCCGCCCACACTACCCGAAGGTCTCTGGGCGGCTTACAGCATTTAAAATACAATAAA